CAGCTTCTGTCCGTCCTTCCACCAGGCCACGAGGGGCTTGGGGGAGCCCCTGGCCTCGCAGGGCAGCGAGGCGGGGGTGTGGGCTGTCAGGGTCAGGTTGGAGGGGCTGGGGGCGATGGCGGGAGGCTCTGGGGAGAGAGCAGTGTCAGGAGACTGTGTGCGGGATGGGGGAGGCCCGGGGACCCCACCACTTCAACCCCCCAGGAAGCAGGGAGAGTAGGCGGGAGGAAAGCCCCTTGGGGAACTCCCATGGGCTCCCAAAGTTTGGGTGATGGGCCTTTGCTCACCCCAGAGGCTGGCGACCCCTAACTGCCTGTCCTGGAAGAGACCTCCAGGCTGTGACAGCCCCCACCAGCCTGGCCCAGGCTGGGGCCCGCACACGGCCTCCAAGGGGACGGATTGGAGTGGGAAAGCAGGCCAGAGCGCCCGGTTCAGCGATTCTGAGTCTTATCCTTGCAAATGTTTTATATCTTGTGTGTTTTATCACTTGCTCAACATAATAGCATAGCCCAGTGGCTCAGTGGTTGAGCGTCGGCCTATGAACCAGGAGATCACGGTTCGATTCCTGGTCAAGCGCACGTGCCCAGGTTGCGGGCTTGATCCCCACTGTGGGGCATGCAGGAGGCAGCCGATCAATGATTCCCTCTCATCACTGATATTTCTCTCTCTCTCTCCCTTTCCCTTCCTCTCTGAAATAAATAAAAATAATAGCATAATAGTGAGTGTATGTAACATGTATAAAAATCCATCTTTTGAGCATATTTTACTAATGAGCTTCGTGGTCAAAAAAATTTGGAGACCATTGCTGTTGGCTGCTGATGCTAGAATGACCCAGACACTAAGCAGGACCCGGTCCAATCACGGGGTGGATGCTGAAGGCAAGGAACACACCTTCCCCTGCCCACCTACCGAAGACGCGGAGGTCACGGGCCTGGCGATCGGAGCCTGCAGAGTTGGACGCCAGGCAGAGGTAGTGGCCAGAGTCCTGGGCAAGGACTGGCTGGATCCTCAGGGAACCCTCGGGCAGAATGTGCAATCTGGAACCGGAGGGAGGGGTTGCCATGGAGACTCAACCCCGAGTCCCGCATCTGTGAGGCTGAGATTAGCGGGGCCACAGCTGTGCACCCCTCAACCCAGCATCAGGAAGGGCAAGAGGCTGCTTTGGGCCTCCTGGGTAGAAACCTCCTGGGCCTCGCCGCTCCCCGAGAATCAGCAGGCAGAGGCACCCCACCTATCTGAGAACGGCCTCTAGATCTAAGACCGGCCCCTTTGAAAGGGGGTTTGTCAGTTCTGTGTAACCCCGCCTCCAGCCCCAGCCAATTGGACTGAGGAGGAACACGTCACTCAGGCTGAGCCAATGGAATTCTCTGCCCTGGGAATTTGGAACTGGGGCTCCCAGACAGCTCTCTAGGCTCTGCAGGTTGTGTGAACTGAGGACTCTAACTTGGGGGTCACAGGGAGCCATCTCTGTGAAAGAAGGTGCAGAAAAAATTGATTGATTGATTGAGAGGGAGGCAGCCACCCCCCCCCCCCCCCCC